CAGGGGAGCCTGCCAGAGAGAGAGGAGGCCTTGGCAACTTCATGAGTCAAATAGAATTTTGCTTAAACTCATGACTGAGAAAGTTAAACTCACTGGATACATGTTGCTTTGTATATTTTAATGATATTTTTGACATCGCCCACTCCAGTATTTTGATAGATGTGTGTATACACACACAAAAGAAGATGGAAAGTAGTTTAAGAGTAGAAGAGGGAAACCAACACCTTTGGAAAGAAGCTGATCATTTGTGTTCTTGGTTGTTTATTTTTTTTACATCCATTGACTCAGTCCTTGCCTGACAGAGCTCTGTGTCAAGAAAACACCTTTGCCTTTTTTTTGGTTTCCATTACAAAAAATCCGCTAAGCAGGCCAAGGTCATGGCTTTGATGACTGTGATGACTATTAGTTTTATGTTGCCTGGGAGCCACCGACACTAATTGATGCAAGAGAGACAAGCCAGCTGTGCACAGATGCCTCCATGCGCTTCTGAGAAAACAACTGTAGATGTGGTACTGAAAGATGGTCAGGAGCATCATTTTTACAAATGAAGAATTATAAATTATAAATGGGGTTGTCCTTGGCACTGGTGGAATTCATCCTGCCTGTTTCCCTGGACTTCTGCAATTGTCAAGGTCTTGCTGAATGTTAAGGAAAAATAATAGTGAGTGCCTAATATGTGCCAAGTGTAAAGAATTTTATGTGATGTAAGATATGGTTCCTAGTCTCAAAAAAACCTAAAATCCAACTGAATAGACAGGATTTGTTCTTAAAGAAATGAAAGGCAATACAAACAAGTCTTTATCATCATTTGTCCTGTGGTATAGTTCAAGTGAAGAGAAGTTCATTTGGAGCTAGGCCCACACAGAAGGCTCATGGCATAGTACAGGACTTGACTGGGGCCTTGAAACGAGGGTAAGACTTTGAAAAGTGGAGAGAAGTCAATAGGACTTTCCAGGCTACCAGAGAAATGCTCACAGAGTGTTTGAGGAATAAGTAATAGACAGGCGGCTTAGAGCACGAGTTTGAGGGGAGGCGGGCAGGACAGGCTCTTCTGCAATAGATATATTGCACATATAATGTATATTAGATCTCTCCCTCTCTCTCTATATATATACAGCACATACATAATCCATATATGTGTATGTCTACGTATATAGAGAGAGCTTACTTCTAATTGTTCACTCACAACTTCATATAAAATATGCTTCTCAAATTGATCCTGGTCAATAGCACCTTCCTGAGTAGTAATTATCCACCATTCCTGAGCCCCTACCATGTGCCAGGCACTGCTATAGATCCTTTAAATAAATGCATTTTACCCAACTCTAATGATTTCATGTTAGCAAATTTGTCTCTGGACTATATAAAACGCACATACACTGGAGAATCTAAAAAGAGTGTTTTCCCAACTTAAGTGTCCCTTGCTGGATGAATGGATAAAGAAGTTGGGGTATATATATGTATATATATATATACACACACAATGGAATACTACTCAGTCATAAAAAAACAAGGAAATCCTACCATTTGGGACAACATGGATGGACCTCAAAGGCATTGAGCTGCGTGAAATAAGTCAGAGAAAGACAAATACTGTATGATCTCACTTATATGTGGAATCTAATAATAAAAAATAATTACCAAACTCGTAGAAAAAGAGATCAGATTTGTGGTTTCCAGAGGCAGGGGCTGGGAGGAGGCGGAATTGGAGAAAGGTGGTCAAAAAGTACAAACTTCCAGTTAAACGGTAAGTAAGTACTAAGGATGTGATATACAGCATGGTGGCTATAGTTAACACTGCTCTACGATATATAGGAAAGTTAAGATAGTAGATCCGATGAGTTCTTATCACAAGGAGAAATTTTTTCTTTTCTTTTCATTGTATCTATATGAGATGATAGATGTTAACTAAACCTATGGTGATATCATTTCACAATATATGTAAATCAAACCATCATGCCGTATACCTTAGACTTATACAGTGATATGCGCCAATTATTTCTCAATAAAACTAGAACAAAAATAAAAAGAATATTTTCCAACCCTTCGTATAATGAAATAAGACATTTTCTGGAACTAAAGAAAAAAGTTCGTTATAATAAAAGTTGTTTTTTCCCCTAACATCTATATGATACATGTTAAAGGTGTCAAATGTGTGAAGTGAAATACGACTTACCTCGTGACCCGTTAACCAAAGCTGGTCAGGAGACACCTAGATGTTGCCACTCATTCCTTCCCCTTTCCATCCTCTAGTCTGCAGTCCCAGCATCTTTTCTATCTTCCCCATAAAACTCCTTTATAAAGAACGTTTCATATGCACACAGTCACTAAGGTATGTGATGCCTGCACATGTTCACCAGCCACGCTGGTGTACCCTCCAACGTGGAAATAGATGATCACTCTTCAGTGAAGAACTCCAACAACCACCGAGTCCAAGGAGACCCAGGACCTTGCTGTCTTCATTCTGGTTTGTAATAGAGTGACAGAGCCTCTGAAATGGTAATCCTTCAACCTGGCTACACTGCTGGGGAGAGTTTAAAACATTCAGATTCGTGGTGCTCATCCCAAACGTATTAAGGAAGAGTCTCTCCCAGATCCATCCCAGGAATCAATAACTTAAAATTTTTCTTCAAATGATCCTGATGCAGTCAGTCTGTCCACAAATAGGTGTTCAGGAACCATTGCTGTCACTGCACGTATGGACTGAACAAGACTGCTTCTCTCTTTTGCCCTGCGCTCCAGCAGTATCATATTTCTGAGTTAAATAACAGTTATAGATATGTAGTTATAGAATCTAGTCACAGAATATAGCACGGAGGTAGATGATAGGATGAGGATAGGAGTTGGACGAGGCAAGTAGGATGGTGGCCAAGAAGCAGGATTTATGGCGAAGAAAGGGGCAGGGAGATGTACCAAACACAGACAGCCCTTGGAGCTCGGGCATCACCCATATGGACACAAGGAGTCAAGTTCACAGGAAGACAGTTAAGGAAGGCCAGGCAAAGACCCAAAGTTAAGATCTTGATCTCAGGAAGCTGAGGCTTATAGCCTGTACCTCTTAGGAAGCCACTTTGCTTACAGATTTTGTGGGGAGCCAGCAAGTGGCCCTTCTGGTCCTAACATCAATGAAATGATCTGCTTATGGACCTGTGCCTTCCACCCACTTGGAGCATCTCGAGGGCAAACCTGGTGTCCACCCCTCCCTGTGTCCTCAGGCTTAGCCCCCTGCTTGTCAGTGTTTGCTGAACTGAATTAGACTGAGTCAAAAACTCCTGATAGACTCAAGAGTCTTAGACATCTTGTCCCAAGAAAAAAGTATCTTTTAATTTTGGAACAGTAATTATAATGCTACTTTGAATAAAGACTGAGAATAACGGAATCACTTTAATGCCCAGTCGTATTTGGCCCGCAATCCTTCGGATTTCTTCCAAAATTTATACGTTCTATGCCTCGACTATTCTTTTAGCCCTGTCATCTCAATCTATTTGTTCTTTTTTACTCTCAGTGGTTTGCTTAAAAAAAAAAGTTTTTCTTCATTTTCCTGGTCTGGTTTCTGCAGTGCCTCCAACCACTGACAAATCACATACACCTAGTTTTTCTGCTGGAACATTAGCTTCCTGGAGAAGCAGAGTGTGCTGTGGCCATATGCACCGTGGTGGAAATAGGAGAAGGTGCTGCTGGTTTCACAGCTCCTGCAGCTTGTGTTGGAGGAGCTGCTCCTCTTAAAGTGGTGGTGGGTGTGTTTGTTTCCCACTCAAGAGTTGAGCTCTTCAATGTGTATCACACATCTTAAATCTCAATATGCTGCTCACTGTTTTAGCTCCAAAAACCACCAAATTCAAATCGTCCCTAGAGAAGCAATTCCTCTCCTTTTTAAACCGCTCATGTCACCACTTGTATGTGTCGTCATTCCACTCATAATGGAACATACCAACATCTGGCATCGGAAGTCCGAAGACTAACAGCATCAGTATAAACATACATAATGAATATTCAAGGAGCCTTCTAGAGCCTCCTGAACTTATGATTTTCATGGTCATTATTTTACTCTAGAGTAGTGAGGATACTTTGGAAAGTGACGGAAACCCAAGTCAATGAATTTAAGCAAAAGGAGAAAGTGTTGACTCAGGTAGAAAAGAAGGCTACTGAGATAATTCACAGGATTGAAAGAAGAGCTTAAAGGATCAGGTCTCAGGGACTAATTCAGAGGAATTGCCTCCAAATCTCTGTCTTCATCTTCTCCTGACTCTGCTTTCTCTCTTTGGCTTTATCCTTGCAGGTGGGGAGGCTCTCCCCATATGTGAAGAGGGCCTGCTCTAAGGCTGAGATTTGTACCTTCCCAGCTTGGCAACCACAGTAGAAAAAGAGCATCTTTCTCTCAGAGTCCACGTATCAAGAAAAAAGTTTGGGTCAGTCCCACCTGAGCCCTACTCCTACCCTTTTGATCAGAGTTTCTCAACTTTACTATGCATAAGAATTACTTCAGGTGCTTTTAAAAATTCAGATTCTCAGGTACCACCAGCAGAAATTTGGATTCAGTAGTTAGGAAAACCACGTGAAATGAGGAAGAGTTGGTTTTCCAAAACAAAGGGACATTAGCCAAACAAACAAACAAAAAAACACCCATAAAAGAGCTTGAGTTAGGATTTGTGATTCCATGAAAACATCCACAAGCCTCTGTGTGGCACGACAGTGATGCCATAAATACACAGAGGTGGACAAAAAAGATGGAACCTTATATATGCAAATATCACAGCAGTCCCCAGCTCTCTGGTTGTAAGTGGCAAATTCATTAGCTGCTTAAGTGCCTTATGCCCTGTCTATATAAGTAAATAAAGGCCATTAACAACTGAAAATGTGACATACCTCTAAATGCCGTTAGTTAAGCATCTTTTTAAAATTCTGATTGCTATATTCTGATTATTTGTGTCCTCCCAAAATTCATGTGTTGAAATCCTAATGCCTAATTTGATGGTATTAGGAGGTGGTACCCTTGAGAGGTGCTTAGGTCATGAATGGGGAGTCCTCATGAATGGGATTAGTGCCCTTATAAAAGAGACCCCCCCAGACCTCCCTTGTCCTTTCTACCATGCGAGGACACAGCAAAGTCATTGGCTATGAACCAGAAAGAGGGCCCTCACCTGACCATGCTAGTGTCTTGATCTGGACTTCCCAGCCTCTAGAATTGTGAGAAATAAATTTCTGTTGTTTATAAACTACCCAATCTAAGACGCTGATGAACAATCCTATTGACCCACTTGAGAAATATTATCCAGACTTTTGTTGACATTGCCATTCAGACTTTTTGGTGCACTAACAGCTGAGGCCAGGGAGGAATTTTAAGATCCCAGAAATTAGTTCTGATTCTGTGGACCCAGTATTAATAACATGGAATTCTTATCAGCAAAGAAAGAGAAGCACTCATTCAACAGTTGTACTGAGTACCTGTTAAGGGAGAGGCACTATTCCAGTGATGAGGAAGATTCTCGAAAGTCCCTACCCTTAGGGAGCTTATAGCCTAGTGGGGAGACAGACACTGATATAATAAAATGCCAAATAATGATAAGTGCAATGAAGAAAAATAAAGCTGAGTGAAAAGAGTAACATGGGGTGCTACTTTGTCTGAAGATCAGATCAGAGATGACACTGCAACAAAGTGAGAGCACCAGCCATGTGCAGATCTGGGGGAAGAGCAGAAAGGCAAAGGACTTGGGGTGAGAACAAGCTTGGTGCATTCACATCAGTGTGGCTACAGCAGCAAGTGGTGGGTGATGAGGTTGGAAGGGTGGGCGGGGGCAGATACTGTAGGGCCGCGTAGTCCATGCCAAGGAGTTGGGGTTGTATCCTAAATGTGGTGGGAGCCACTGGAGGAGCCATTGGCGGTGGCAGCAGTGATATCAATTTTAAAGTTTTATAAGATCTCTGGTTTCTGTGTGGAACATAGACAGAATGGCGAACTAGAAGCTGAATGATTGGGTAGGCGTTCACGAAAGCTTGTCCTCTGGTGGTAGCGGTGGAGGTGGTGTGAGCCATGGACGGATTTGGGATATATTTTGAAGGGTAATGCACTGGATTGGAGACCAAGGGGAAGAGAGTTTCAATAAAAGGGTAGGAACTAATAGTAAGAATCCTCAGAAATAGGGAGAGTGAAGACTGAGAAAAAGGCCTGGAATTGGACAATAAGTCAGCTGCTATTCTTACATAGAAATAAGAATATCAAGAGTGAGCTTTGTGAGAAGTGCAGGTAGAGTGTTGGGGAGGAAGCTGGACAGCAGAGAAGTGAGGGAGGGAGTGTGTGGTGAGGAAGGTCAGGCGACAGACCCAAGCTGGCCCCTTTCAAAGTCCTGGCCTCACTGTGGCCATGCGGCTCGCTCTGTCATCAGCTATAGGTCTGAATACAGAGGGAGATTCACTTTTCATCTTCTAAACTCTTTAAGGAACATCCATTTACTTCTGTCTCCCTACCCGATAGGGAATAGCCTGAGACTCAAAACGTTATAACAAGGGCAGAAACTGTACTTTTAATATTCAGAGAGGATGACCTTATTTATTTAAATGTAAATCACAAATCAAAGTTTATGCATGATTATCTTTGGGGACATTGGTCTCTATCATTCCCCATCTCTTGGAAATGGCTGTTCCAAATTAATTAAACTCTCAAGGGAGCAGAGGATTCATGTAGAAGGCTGATAATTGAATTAATAGCTCCCTAGACCTTGTGATACATTTTTCACAAAGGAAACCAAAATAAGTTACGTCAGCAATTCTGTTGGTTTGATCATTTCAAAGGGATTGGTGTTTTCCTTTTGGGTTCACCTGCCACCAGGGGATTTGTCAACATGTTTCAAAGCAATTGAGTGAGTTGCCGTGATTGGTAAAAACATATACAGGAGCTGCAGGACTTGGCACTTACGTAAATAGAGTCATTTAGCTTCCTCTTGGAGAATAAGCAAGGTCGTAATAAGGGGATTGAAGGTAAATTTGGTGAGAAGCGTTCACAGATTTCAATAAAAGGATTTTGCCTTCCTTTTCTCATCCTTTTTACTCTGTGCAGATAAGCAATTAGAAAACACTACTGTATGCTCAGGACCGTGTGGTGCTTACAGAATCATAGTCCCTGGGATCAGCAAGGGAAGAGCTGGTTGGGTGAACAAGATGAGCACATAAGAATCAATGATAAACAGTCTAAGGTCGTATATAAGGAAGGGCTAAACCATGTGCAACAGAATATGTTAAAGAATGTTCCGATCGCATGGAATTGTTTATCGTTCCCTGAGAATACTAGGCCTTTTTCAGGTTTATGGAAGGTCAATTAAATATTTTATAATTAAGAGAGCCATAATTATATAGATTCCATGCCCTCACACCTCATCTTTTTATTTTCCAGAAAATTAAGTCCAAACACCTTAGCTTGGCATCCAAATAATGGCTGAAGACTTTTTTGGGGTGTAAAGGCTAGGAAAGACAACTCAAACTGACTTTGGCAGAAAAGGAAATTCATCAGTCATCTAACCAGTCCGGTGGCAGGGTGGGGCGTCTACTTTCATGCATGACTTCATCTAGGAGCTCAGTTTCTCCCCCAGCTCTCAGTGAAGCCTTCTCCTGCATTGCCTTCAGGCTCAGACTCTACATGTTAGCTCCTGGCAACCCCAGGCTCACATTCCCAACAGACAAAGAGCATGAGGTTCTTCCCTCAGAGGCCCAGCAGAAGGTTCATTGCATCTCTTGGTTCTGATTGGATCAAATGTCTGTCTCTGAACCAATGACTATAGTCAACAGGAGGCGATGCTCTGATTCGCCAGACCTTATTAACATGGCTTCCCGTGGATATTCTTTCACTGTCTTTAGGACAGCAAACCAGCACACTTTAAGCAGAAGATTCCTCAGTTAGGCCTTGTATCTCCAGCTTCGTCTCTTGCTATTCCGTGTTCAGCCCCCAGTGTTCCAATCCCAAGGAATTAATTCCTGTCCCCTAAGAACCCCAGGTCGTTTTCAGGATTATGATCTCGTGTCTATGCAGTTCCCACTGCCTGTGATGTCATTTCCTCTCTTCAGAAAAACTCAGTCTCATTGTTCAAGATCCAGCTCCTGCCTGACCTGAGCTGATGAAGGGTCCTCCAAGAAGTGTGATAAAGAACATACATCAGATGTTGGGTATAAACCCTCTTCAGTGAGAGTAGTCATCAGGTGGTTCCTATCTCCTGTCTGTGGGTGACCAGTCCTCTTTCTCTACAGAAGGCAGAAAATCATTTTGAAATATTTGGTCCACAGTTTGAGGGCCAGACCAATGGGGGAGGTGTCAGGAGAGGAGCCAGGCTGGTTCTTCAGCTAGTTTGGAGAGTGGCATGGGGAGTCAGAACAAGGGTGGGCAGCATCTGTGTAGAGCCGTTCCAGAAGAGACTGAGTCAGCACAGAGGATGGAGATACAGGGTGGGAGCCTGGCGTCGAATAAGTCAGGCTGAGGTGGACTAACAAGGGCAAATCTGAGACTGAGACTCAGGTGGAATGAACCAGGCTGTGAAGGAAGTGCAGACATGACGAGAAGAGCGAGGACGTGCAGGTACCAAGGCCCAGACAAAGCTGGGCTATGAGAGACCTGCTTCAGCTTCTCTTCCTCCAAGAATGAGCCTGTGCTGTGTTTCCATCCTCCTGGTCCAAACAGTCCGTACCGCTCCTGTTGGAATGTTAAAAGTAGTGTAACATCTGAAGGGGGCTCTGAGAGCTTTAGAAAGAAAAGATGATACGATTAAATAATCATCATTATGATTGCAACTCAGCATTTGAGACTTGGGCTCTTAGTTCTAGAAATAAGCCATTTTGCATCCCACAGAAATGAAAAACCAGTTAATTCCCACAGACTTGCAGAAGATGAGATACGGGTTCTATTTTCCAGACTTAAATAGAGCCAAAATTGCTTTGCGCTGGAGGCCATGTGGCTCTTTATGGCCACAAACAGCAAGCATATGGCCCGGAGAGTGGTTTCCCACCAGCGGTGGTATTTCCAGGACACCTGGGGCCCGGCGCAGCCACAGCTGTAATTGGCAGACAGCTCATACGACTGGTTGTTTGCTCGTCCTTGTAAAATTGAGCGTGACAAGCCAATGAGGGGTGGAGCTGTGCCTGTTGTAAACACATTTAGAATTCAAGAAAAGCAAAGTGTAGTTTTGAGAATCTGATTTGCGGGGCTCATAACTATTCATTCATTTCTTAACCATAGTTCGTTAAATTTAACAGTTGTGTGACTCCAAATTCACAGATGACAACTGCAACATATTTTGGGCAATGAATTACTAGCTGCCTTAAGAAACGAGGCTGATTTAACAGCGTATTGTGGAGTAGTAATAGAAGCGCTAAAATCTGTCTTTCTACCTCCAAGGGGTTTGTTGTAAAGGTTTAGATTGCAACAATAAATGTTCTTTTAATCCTTCGCCATGCAAGCAAGTCCACTTTCTGAGGCAGTCATTTACTCGTCTTGTAATAAAAAGTAATTTATGATACGCAGTATCGATTTTCATTTATACTTTCTCTCCATGGCAGGGGCATAATGCTCTTTGGTTGTTCTAGTGGAAAGTGCTTTACAATTATCTAACATTGCCTGTATTTAAAAAATAAATAAACGTTCTGAAAGTTGAAGCAGGGCCTGGAATGGGTCTGAGTTACAAAGCCCAGGTCAGCACCGAGGATGCCCACATAACATTTGCCTCTTGCGCTTAATACTACCAATGTACGTTTTCATGACAGTTACTGCCTCTCTTCTCATTTGATTTTCTTTCTCTGGGTATTGAGGATTCTTTTCTTTCCCTCTACAGCTCCGTCCTCACCCCAGAGGTGTCCAGACAGATCAGCTCACTTTGTCAGCTCAGAACTTCAGGGAGCTATAGGACCCCAGTGAAGATATGAAGTTATCACAAGCTAACAACTGTAACATCTGTTAACACGAGATAAAATAAGAGTTGGCAAGGGCCGCTGATTATTTTGCTAGTGGGAGGGTTAAACTTCTGCTGATTAACGCACTGGGGGTCCTGTGTGGCACGGTGCTTACATAATTATGTCATTGGTCTTGAAATGAGCATCTTACTTTCAGAGATGCTTCAAAGGCAATTGTTTTACTTTGTCCTGGAACCTGAGACCCTCACAAAGACAGCTGGGCCCACCTGTTGTCAGCAAACGTGTCTTTTAGGAATTCCCCAAGTATCACATCCAGATGTATAACAAAGGGCTGTACGTGGGAAATCATTTATGCTGTGGGTGTGAGTAGAGGGTCACAAACTCAAGAGTACGGGAGAGATCATATTTATTTATTTCTCCGTTAACAATTTAATTCTGACTTTGCGATACATCACGTTTTGCTGGGCTGTAACCTCAGCTATCTGTGGGGCTCCCTTCACTGTGGTTTTGCTAAGGTTCTAGGAGTCAGGATGGCCCCCCTGGCGTCAAACATCTGTCCCTATATTATCCCAGCCCATGCCATCAATACACTGATTGGTGTCTTTGGTTTGACACTGGGCACACGAGAAATTGTGTCAAGGCTGGGAGACCTGGGGCCTTGATTTCTCCAAGGTTCTGCCACATCTTCTTGGTACCGCCCGGGACTAACTCTTAGATTCCAGGAACGACACAGCCCTCTCCTCCTTCCAGCCTATTTGTGTTTACCCTTGGAATATCTTTCCCTTTCTCCCTCTTTCCATCAGAAGCATGCACCTAGACTCCTCCTTCTTCTGACCCTGGAGAACCTATTTTTATCTTGGGAAATCCTTCTCTTTTCTCATTTCTTCCTTACAAGTACCTCCATCTCCTTATACCCGTTACTCTCAATGGGCTTTTACTTCTGCAAACAAAAGCCAAGAAGGAAAGTTTCCATAGGCGATCTTTGTTTCTTTCCCTGAAGGGGAAGAGAAAATAGAATATGTGGGGTGAAAATTATAAATTGCTATCACAAAAAAATTATCCTAGCATAGACACGTGTATATTCTCAAAGGCAGGTGCCTGATTAATTCATTTTTGCACTGAGCAGAAAAACAAAACACTAGACAAAAGAACCTGCAAATCTTATGCAGTGAGTGATTTATGAACTTATCAGTGTCCAAGGTAAAAGAGAAACTATGTTTAATGTGTCAATGGGGAAAGAGCGAAGAGAGGACCAGCTTCCCAGAAATCTTTCAAGGAACCTATAATTGTTATGCTTCCACTTCCAAATTGTACGATTTTACCCATATGATCGTATATATGAAATTTAGTGATTTCTGTAGTCATCATCTCTATTAGCACTGGCCAAATCATCTACGTTATAGTGGTTTTCATAGAGGTCCGTATTTATAAACACAAACAACAGAACTAATAGCCCTTCTTGAGACCTCTGCATTGGACATGAGTGACCACTCTTTTTTGAAACTCTCTTCTCCCTTGGATTCCTTAGAAGCACTGTTTCATGCTTTCTTCCTGCCTTTCTGATCTTCCCTCCTTGAAATCCTTCATGAGGGTTTTTCCTTTATTCGCATCTGAGTAGTTACCGGTGTGCAATTCCAGGCTTCCACTCTTGGTCCTCTGTTCCTCTCTCAAGATGATCTCACTCACTCTCCAGTTTTAACTGCCAGTCTGCTAATGACTCATCCCTGCCCCACTGAGCTTTGGACCCTTACATCCAAATGCATGCTGAACACCCCCATTTGAATGTCCCATTGCACCTCAAACTCAACATTTCCAAAGCGGAATGCCTCAACTTCTATCCCACTAACTTGTACCCCTCTTCATGGTTCCTTTTATCATTCACAGTTGCAATTCCCACCCCGGCTCCTTAATCTTGACCAGTCCACCCAGGCACACAAAATGGATACCTATTCTCAGTAGTTGCAACAGCTTCTCCAGATTTACTTCTCATCTCCTTGTCATTACTCTCATCTAACTGGCTCTGGGACTCCAGGTTCGATTGCGCTCTTTGCTTCTGACTCTGCCAGTTTAGTAATCTTTGGTCTTCCCTTTTGCTTCTTGGACTTCAACTTCCCTTTTAATACTTGACTCTGTTCTGTCTCTCTAATTATATTGTCCATGCAATCTTGGAAGAAAACTCCCTCAACCGGTCAGGCTAACTTTCTAGGCTGCCTTCCACTGGTGAAGGATGAGCCAGACTCCTGACTTCCAGACTTTCCTTGACGTCCTCACATGGGGTTAACCACTAAGCCATCACTGAACCTGTTCTGGACTCTCCTTTACATCCCTCTGACATTGCCTTGGCTTAAGCCCTCATCCAGTCTTCCCTGGATTCTTCAAACAGCTTCCACGTGTTCTCCAGTCTCCTATTTTGTTCCCCACATGGCAGCCAGAATGATTGTTTGAAAATGCACTGCTGATCATTCCTTTGCTTAAAACTCATCAGCAAATATTTGCAACCCTGATATCTCATCAGAAAAAAAAAATCCATGAAACGTTTTAAATATATTGATTTTGGCTTCCACTCCAGAGACGCTAATTCAGTGGATCTGAGATAGAGCTTTGGCATCAGTGTGCTGCAAGAGCTCCCCAGGAGGTTCTAATGTGCGGCTTCCTTAGCTTGGCCCCCAAGTCCACCATGGCCTACCTCCACCCACAGTTCCATCTCACCTCCTGCTCCAGGAGAGCTGGAGGGTATCTCTTACCTTTCTCTATCCTGGGGTCTGTTACAGTCTTGATGTTCATTGACCTTAACTGGACAACTGCAGGATGACAGCAAGTATTATCAAACAGCCAGAGCTGGTTTGAGGTCATTAAGTACCCTGGAGTTGCAGTTTAAAGAATTCCTTTGTAATTATTCACACTATACTTCAGTGTATTCCTCTTCTTAATTCCATGTTCAGGGCTGTTTCTGTAAAGTACTAGACAAACAATTCCTCACCCTGCTTCGTATTTGCACCTTTAAAGTATTTAGAGACTGCTTTTATATCCTCACTTAGTCGTCACTTAACCAAGCAGTATGCGTTTTGCTTCCACACTATTAATTTTGAAATTCATTCCTCTATAAGGTGATAACTTTTCATGCAACATTCCATTCTTTTATGTAGTTCTTAAATTGTGGTTTTTCTGCTTCAAAGAACTAGATTGTAAGCCAATTGAAAATAGCAATTATGACTTAACAATTATGACTTCAGATTCATCGTTACCCCTCCCATGCTTGACACAGAACTGGGCGTAAAATTTAGGGAGGGGAAGGAAGTATGGATTTGCCAAGACTACACAGGGACCACAGATTCTGACTCCCCTTTCTGTTGTTCTTTTGTCCTGTTAACCTGTGTTTAAGATGCTCATAACTCCTACCACCAGGTGTTTTAGGTATCAGTATTTCTCTGATTGAACCGTAAATAAGCTTATTCAAGATGCATTATTCTTTGGTAAGAAAGAAAACCTAGGAGAAAATGGAATATTTTGTATTCTTTTACATCTCTGGAAAAAGATTGATCATATCATATAACTTGATGAGAATTTACTGAAAATCCAAATGATGCTTCTATCAAGCAGTGTAAATTGTCATTCTGGATCTGTATTACAAGAAGCTGTATTTGGCTGCAATCCAATGAAATGTACCAAAATGCAATTTCCAAAGCATTCAGAACTGTACCCTTCATTTGATTCTGTGCATGCCCATGTAGTTGCTAGAAAATATTCATTAATTTCTATTACTGAGTGAAATAATTCAGAACCCACTTCAATAAGTCCTTGATGATTCATAGACAGCCTCCCCACTGACAGCTTCCTCAAGTGTCCAGTTCTGTTCTAAACACAGGTTTAAGTGGAAATGGTCTTTCCCAGAGAGAGTAGCCCTTGAGCCCGGCAACAGTGAAAGCCACAAAACACCTAAATTTCAGACAGAGAAGACTGTCATTAGTTATTAGGCATATTATAAAGAAAAAGCCCTGTGTCAGTGGAGGAATGCGTCAAGACCAGGCTAGCCATTGAAAGCTGAGGATCATGGGAGGATCATGGGAGAATCCTGGATATCCAAAGAGACAAGAAAGAAGAGAGTGGTGAATATTAAAAGCAGCAGGGATAACAAGCCGTGGAAATCATAAATTTGTTATAGATGTTGGGATGGAAGCCATGGAAAGACAGAAAAGAGAATAGTTATGTCATCGGAAAGTGAGAATCAAGTGGCACCAACACACCTTAGCGACCCCTGGAGCCAGCTACGTGTGCTCATTAGCACAGTTAGTGTAGCTCTGCCACCTAGAGAGACCATCACTCTACCTGCAGGACCATTGACGAGCTGCATCATCTTCCTGTGGCCCACACCATCCATACCTTCGTCTGTAGCCTTAGCTCCATGGAGGGCATAGTAAACAGTTCATAATCATAAAGATGACCCAAAGGCAAATCAAGATAAAAATGGCATTTACTTTTCTCTGTTTCAGAAGCCGCAGATGCATATAGTACATTTTTGAAGATTTCTAATTCTTAAAACATTTAGTATAGACCCTCAAAGAAAACGAAACACAAATGTACGAAGTTTCTAATGAAACTGGGCGACACCTGTAACCCCAAGGTACAAAATAATGAAAATGGAAAGCAGATGGATGTGAGAGGACAGTAATATCAAATTTTGACTAATTCACGTATCTTTCAATGGTTGATGCAGACCATGTGCCTAGGAATACCTGTGATTTCATCTCCAGGCCAACTTGAAATTTTTTTCCCAAGTACAATTTTCCAGACCATTACATTGAGTCTTCTCCTAAAGTAGGAATAAATAATTGGCTCTTTCTCAATATCAATTAAAGCTATTCTGTCAGGGGAAGCTATTGATCCAATCTTCTGTGATCTGATCTTGCTCAAGAAACAGGAAACATAACTTTTAACCTCTGGCTTCTCACATGTTTCCCCCCAGTGCCAGCCTCAAGTTTTTTATTTAATTTAATACTTTTACACGGAAGATAAGATGCCCCTATCGTTTACTTCCCCTATACAGCCTGTCCTGTTTTTTTTTCAGAATGGTGATAAATTAAGCTTGCATTCACACAAAAACTCTTTCACTAATTCCTTTCAAGTCAATTCATTTATAATATAACACACCAAAAAGTACTCAAAGAATGTCAATACTGGGCAATAGCATTAAGCTTAAATGACCATTAATTTCATCCTTTTTCTCCTATCTTTTTTCCTTGATATCAATATCATGAACTGTTTAATCCCCCAACTCTGCTTAACCTTTTTATACGTTGCGGAAGATGCTTCTGTCACTCAGGATGTGAGGCTAAAAAGGAATTCTAACGGTTGAACCCTTGCAGCTTCTTTAATGAGCCTGGCTGATCTTTAACCCAAGAAATTGGTGGTCCATCTGTTCGAGAGGAGCTTGACTCCTGCAATCGTTTGGCTCACATCACAGAAGGCGTTTCAACACACATCCTCCATCTGGTCAGTGCTGCTTGCTCATCTGAAAAGAGACTTGGGGATGTGGGGGAGAGCGATGTTTCCAGTTAACAGTAATTATTTCTAAAAGCTCTCAGCTTCCTTCCACGTTTCGTCCTCCTTCTGACACTTGCATTTCCTGAGGAGGACATTCAGAAAATGAGCTTATCAGTAGAATCTTTAGACTGTTTATAAGAAAGATGTTTCCTCAGTTAGGCAACCTTGGTTTTGCTTTTTGGTTTTCTGTTTGTCACTTCTTCTACTCAATTGTTGTGGGTTCCAACCCCAATCATTTGATTTTCCTAGGTACATTGCCCATATCTGAAGTATGTGTGATGAAATGGTGATCTCACTAAGCCCGCATCTGAACTAACCCAACCTCTCTAACTGTTTTATCTGTCTTGATGATCGATAAAGGTTGTGCACGTCAATCCATGATACATCTGTCTGTTAATCAAAGACAGATTTAATTAACAAATCTTATTTTTTTATTAATGTGGATAAAATTGTTAGATTCCCTGCTTCATGGATGTGATCATTTTGAAGCTCAGATAATCATATACAGATAAAGGATTATCATCAAGGATACTCCTTTTGCTAACTTAAATTAAGATGGCACTCTCAAAATGTGGTATGTGTTTACAATGGAATATTATCCAGCTTTAACAAAGGACATCCTACCATTTGCAAAAACATGGATGAACCTGAAAGACGTTGTGCTAAGTGAAATAAACTGGACACAGAAAGACAAATACTGCGTGATCTCATTTATAGGTGAAATCTAAAATAGATTCATGGAAGCAGGGAACAGAATGGTGGTTGCCAGGGTTGAGAGGTGGGAGAAATAGAGAGATATTAGTCAAAGAATAATATAAAGCTGCATTTATGCAAGAAGAATAAGTTCTGGAGATCTAATGTACAACATGGTGACTATAGTTAACGATACCATATTATATATTTGAAATTTGCTAAGAGGGTAGGTTGTAAGTGTTCTCACCACAAAAAAAAGAAAGAGAAGGAAAGAAAATGATAGCTATGTGCAGTGATGGATAGTGAATTAGTTTGTGCTGATTATTTCACAATGTGTGTGTGTGTGTATATATATATATATCAAAACATCAAGATGTACACCTTAAATATACACAATTTCCATATGTGAATTATACCTTAACAAAGCTGGGGAAAAAGAGAGAGCACTCTTTCCCTACTGGTCTCTGATGCAAATGGATGAGGGAAGTTGAACACTTGTCTAGGATAACTTACGTGCAGTCCTGCCTGTAAGCAGATGATGCCTTCAGCTTCGTTGCCGCCGAGGTCCTCCTCGGGTAGGTAAAGGCTGTTCTGAAGCCGGGGCAGTTTTAGGCATTATGTGACCCCCTCAACAGACTGTGGGTCATAGTGAACAGAAGTCAAGGGGGAAAGATTTCTTCTGCGAGAAACAGCCTCTCCTGAGCCCTGCTAAAGAAAATAAAACTCTGAACTCCAGGTTTCAGTTCAGTGGTAATTAGTGAGGACTTCTGCCACAAAGACCTTACTTACCATGCACCATTATATTAATCAAGCCTTGAAGTGCCCAAGCCATGAATCACCACTGCATAATCAATGCTAAGTTTTTTAACAAAAATAGCCCTTTCTACACTACACAGGCTTCGCAGATCTGAACACAGTGACAACTAAAGGGGAGCTTGTGAGAAATGTGTTCTCAGATCAAAGCTCAGGAAGCCTAATAGTGTAACGTTCCAAGATGCTAAAAATATACTGCCACCTAGGGATGAGTGTCACCTGACCTCACAGCTGAGATACAAAAGCTGGAGCCCAGTTTAGAAGATTGTTTTTCAGATGTCTTGTCTGGCCATGCTCATTGGTCTTTGAACACAGAACCATATATATACACTGGCTGTTGGGAGGAAGCATCAATGCGTTTTCAATGCCATCTAAAAGGTGTCTCAGAATAAAATGTTTTCACTGCCTCATCGTCAGCTCCATGTGGTGGCGGTCCACTGTGCAGGGCAGATGTTCTGCCACGGCTTTCTTTATCACAAAGGTGTCGGAAGGAGCTTTGTGTCTGCATAGACCTGGGTTCAAATCCTGATTCTATCATTTATTATGTTAGGGACCTTGAGCAAGTTTCAGATCATGAATAAAGAGTGAGGAATGTGGATTGATAAAGAACAGTGAGGGTGAGTGTAGGAGGCAGAATAATGGCCCCCAAAGATGCCCACAGCCTAATTCTCAGAACTTGTGAATATGTTACTTTACATGGTAAAAGTAATTTTCCCGGTGTGATTAAATTAAGGAGCTTGAGATGGAGAAGTTAGCCTAGATTAGGATGGATTCTTAGAATCAGAGAACGTGTTCTGATTCAGGTCAAAGTCAGAGAGATGCGACTATGGAATAATGGTCAGAGAGACGCAATATTGCTGGCTTTGAAGATGGAAGAAATGGGCTATGAGCCAAGAGATTCAGGCGGCCTCTACAACCTGGAAATAAGGAAGCAGAATCTCCCTTAGGGCTTCCAAAAAAGGGACACAGCCCTGCCAGCACCTTGATTTGAGCCCAGGGAGACCTGTGGCAGACTTCTGACCCACAGAACTATAAAATTATCAATTTGTGCTGTTTCAAACCACCACGTTTGCTGTAATTTGTTATGGCAGCAATAGAAAACTAATAGAGTAGGTTTTCCCAGTGGAGAGAATGGAATAGCCAAAACCAGAGTCAATTCGACCATTTAATGCAGCGCGCATTTATTGGAGGCCCACTGCTGACTTGCCAGGCCCTCTTCTATGAAGGTGAGGAGATGCTGCTGGTTGTGGCCTGTATAAAAAACACGCCAATAGGAGGACTATGGGAAGTACCCCAAGAAGTACCTACGTGAGGAGAAAGACTGCCTCTGGTTTGGGCACAACTTAATTCTTCCAAGCCGACTTTGAAGAAGGCAGTGATGGGTGGGAAGAGTGTGTTGGGGTGGGGACATATAGAAGCCCGTGGGACAAGAGGTTCAGGTCAAGGAAGAAAATAACCTGGTCAGGTCTAGTTGGCTTGGACACGTCATCAGTGGTTCCCAAATGCTGATCCATGATGAAATCTGCACCAGTGTTTTCTCAGAAATGAGGAAAACAAGAACAATGTAGTGAGTCCTTTCATAAAACTAAATTCATTCCATTTAAATTCCTTACTTTTATCCTGAGATTATTTTGGTATTTCTATTTTTTTTGGTATTAAAATTCCCTTTAACAAAATGATGGTGGGGTGCTTGTTGCCATTATTTTTGTTGTTGAAACCTTCTTACCTGGAAGAATAAAAAGCTGGTAGACCTATGTTGGTTTTCTCTGTGTGGGTGCTAGGGTGGAGAGGGGGCCCCTGATCCACGAAATGTAGAAGTCTGGAAGGCAGAGTGTTATGGCAAAAGATGAATTGGGGGGAATAATAGGAGATAATGAGATCCAGCTGGATAGATTCATGCAACGTTATTGCTGTAGTAGGAGTTTGGGCTTTAATCTCTTGAGAATAGAGAGCTGATGGATGTATCATTCAGTGACATTCGATGCTGTGTTCTAGGCATTGTGTAAGGTGTAGGGAAATCATGTGGTGTGAGATGAGAATGAGATTATAACACACCTTACCTGGCTAGAGTGGTGGTCCATGGAGGATAATAATCAAAAGACTGTATTTTTGAGGATGGGAGGTGGTATTGAAAGTGTGATTGGCAGACAGACAGAAAATTCTAGACAATGGTTCTAAACCACAGCTGATTCTCCCCCCAGGTCACAGGGACATTTGGCAATGTCTGGAGACCATTTTGATTGTCATCACTGGGGTTGGGGGACTACTGGCATTTAGTGGGTACAAGCCATCCCACAAGCACAAGACGTCCCCTCACAACTGAGAATTATCAGGCCCCAAATGTCAATAATGCCAAGGCTGAGAAACACTGCTCTACAGGAAGTTGGTTTCAATACAATAAAATAACAGGAACTACTATGCATTCTGGGATGTGGCATTACAAGATCAATACAATGTTTGAGGAAGGAAGGAAAGGAAAATTTATTGACAACTTTCTATATGTCAGGTACTCTCATATGCAGTAAATCCTCTTTTACCATCGCAATAACCCCGGCTGGGTGTTAGTGTTTTCTCCCTCTTACAAATGAGGAAACTGAGCGAAGGTTGTGATTGACTTGCAGTCAGTTAATGATCGAGATCAGATTTGAACCTAGCCCTGTTCCATTTAATCACTCACCAAGGCCAGTTATTGATTATTCCACTTCTGTCCATCCCCACTGCCACTATCTTAGTTCAAAGCCGCCGTTATCTGTTGCCTGGGTTACAGAACGCAACAACCTCCTGCCGGCTTTCCTCTCATCTCTTCTTCTGACTGTAGTCAGAGGAAGCTGTCTAAAGAGTGCTTCTGACCTCATTGCTTTCCTGCTTAAAACCCTGTGGTGAGGAGGCACTGGCAGTTTCTCTACTGCACTATGCTGGTGCTTGTTTTCTTCATGTCCACATCCTCCCCACAACTCACCCTCCCCCCAACACACACACACACCCCTGGTAACTCTTGCTCCAGTTCCTTCAGAAGTCACTTGCAGAGGAAGAGCTCCTCTGATCCTCAAGGCTGAGGTATGCCCTTTGCGTGTGCTCCCGTGGCCCCTGTGCATGTCCCATCATTGTCTTTATCACCCTTTGCGTCAGTGTCTCTCTTCTAGTAAAATGTAAGCAACTTGGGAGCAAGGACAGTATGATTCCAATGTGTCTCCTCAGCACTAGGCATATAGGAGGTGCCAAAGGATACATGTTGAGTGAATGACCGCCACCATCACTCTGTATGAACACTGAGTTGGGGTCAGTATTCTCCAGACACAGGAAGGCCACATAAAAAGGCTTTCTCCCCCTAGGCACAAGGCGATGAGGATCTTGAATAAGGTTTTGACCATGAGGAAGGAAAGGAAAGATGTGAAATACACAAAAGAAACAAATCTGTAAGGCTTGTTGACAGATGGCAGTGTGGGAGGATGGAGGGAGATTACTGATAAGGATTCGTAAGTGAACAAGTATGTAGGAGCAGGATGCTCAGGTTGTCATGAATGATAATATAGAAGCGTGCTTCTGTCCTGCAAATTCTCAGTACATGTTGAATGAATAAACTTGGATGTTTTTCTTTAAGTTTGAGAGCCATCTAAATAGAACATAGATGGTATATTTAAAACCATAGGAATAAATGAGATCCCCTAGGGAGAATGCCTAATAATGAAAAGGAATGAGGCTAGGACCAAGCCCAGGGAACACAAACAATTATAGGTCATTAATGGAGGAGACTGGGAATGGCACAAAAACCAGCTGATGCCGAAAGGTAAGAGAAAACCAGCAGAGTGAGAGCATGCTGTGGAAGCCAGGAGAGGAGAGTGTAGAAGAAAGAAGTGGTCAACTCAGGGCAGTGCTGCTGAGAGGCTGAGTAAGCTAAGGGCGAGAAGTGACTGTTTCACAAAGCTTTCCTTCCTGGCGAGTGGAAGAAGCAGGAGTGTAGCAGACCCTGAGAGGAGCAGAGACGAATGCTAAAGGGGAAGACATCTTGGTTTTTTGAGGCCCCATTTCCAGGACCTGGTCCTGAAGACCTGGCCCTCCTAGTGTTTTCACTCCTTATAGCACTTTGACTTTGTCTCCCTAAGCAAGATAAGGCAATTCAGCTAATGAAGAATAAAACCCTCCACTTGTCTGAGCGGTCCTACAGAGCCAGTGAATGGCTTATTCAGTAGCTTTAATGGATGAGCCAATGAGGAGTGGTCCCATCTTCTGATGAACAGAAGCAGCTGTGGGGATTGCCATAAAAAACCTGAGACCTGATCTCAGATCCAGGCTGCTCTTTGAGACTCCTAAATTAGTCCCATACAGAACTTGCTCTGATACCCAACCCAATTGCTGCATCCTCCCAAAAATGGCATCTTGGCTAAGAGACCCTGTCCAGACAAGTCATGGTCCTCAATAAGCCATTACCCTTGCTTCTTCTCCAGACACACCCTTCCCATGTGGGAGGCTGCTGGAACCACCCAGTGCATGAAGGAGTGAGGAGACAATTGATGATGTCTCCTTTTTCATCTACTTTGCTCAGTGCAAGAGCCCTTTAAAAAATACCTGCTATTAGGGCTTTTCAAGTCATTCAACCGACAAAAGGAAGTGAAGAACAGAATTGTCTGATTTTAATTCTCCCAGCTGACCTAGGTGCCATTCAGAGCAAATGGAAGTAGTGTGTTATAATTCAAATGCTGATGGTCATAAAACATCACTAATGACTAGAATTCAGTCCCTTTCCAATGAATTTTAAGACCCCATTTTTGGTGAATGAAAGTAACTCAAATATTAAACTCCCATTTATAGGTTTTGGGGAAATTTTGTATGGCTCCAAGGTCGTCTCGGAATATAAGCTAACCATGTACACACGTCACTTTGTGTAAGAAGTGGTGATTAGGCAAGCAACCACGAGATTATAAGTTGCCTTCACAAAGACAGAAATTTGGAATGTTATAGGGTCAGATGCATTTTGATGGGACATCTGTTGTTCTCTCCCTCAGAAATATAACATTTTATTTTTCCATTAACCCCAAGCCCTGAAGTCATTTCTCTCTCAGTTTTTTCTAGGACAACCAGGAGTTTTAGCCGAGAAATGATGGATGAGAGCAGTTCGGCATCAGTGATGGGGGCTCTTGACAAAGACAAAAACAGCCTCCCCACTCAGTTCCCCTCCACTCCATCCTTCATACTGCATCTCTATCTCAAAGACGATTTCTGAGGGAAAGAGGTGTTTTTATGTGGGAAGTGGAAAATGATTTGTGGAGTAGGAGCATGCAATTGCGGAATTCTTTAAAATGACAGGTCCTCTTCCTGCACCCTCACCAGAAAGGGAGCTGTTGTTATAAAGCAGACTCTGAAGAAATGGAGTATCTTTTAGCCTTTTGAAAAGACGTCTGTCTTAATTGAGGACAACATCATTTAAGCCTCAAATTTACGATTTCTGAATTAGGTGCATTAGATAAAACCTGACAATCCATTGGGATCTATACCAATATGGACACTGCCTCATCTTATCTTGAATTCAAGCATCTGTCTCCTTTTCCCCCCAGTAAGCTCTCAAATCATTTTTATCTTTGAAAGTTGTCCGATTCCTTCTTTTGTTTGATTAGGGCCAAATAAATAATATGCAAATCATTCCCACTTACACCATTTCTGTAAACATACATTCTCCACAATCATTACCTTGTCACCCTCGTCTTGCTCTGACTTTATTTGTCACTGAAGAGCAAGATAAGATACCGAATAAGTTTCACCAAGTGGTGTCAGCCCAGCTCAGCTCTGAGCTTTTCCCCTCAATGACCTGCTCTGGCCCTCCTCTCTAATGCTTGCCCCTGCCACTTCCCATCTCATGGACTCACTCCCTGGATGCTTGCACGAATTTAGTACTGGCCTCCAGGGAATTACCCACATCTTGTTACCAGTCAGCTGGTTTGCAGCTTTGCCTGCTTGCTCTGAATAGGGCGTGAAGAGGGGTTCTAATCTTCCCAGGGCTGTCCTCCAGGTGAATTTGATCTGCTTGGCTCCAGTAGAGTACGGCGTAAGCCACCTGCCCTCTGGTGGTTGTGGACAGCTCCCAGAGATGCTCCTGTGCCAGGGGACTTAGTTTAGCCATTGCATCCTTCCAACCAGCAGCTCCTTCCTACCACCCTCCGAAGGGCCCCATAACTGGAGCTCGCTGCTTCAGCAAATCCGTTTGAGGAGTCTAAGAGCAAGAAAACGACTCTGTCAGTCTTCCTGGGTCAGCCCCCTGCCTCCACCAGGCCTGCTTCCAATGGGCATTGCAAACTGAAAAGTGCCCAACAGCCAAGCACTTCTCTTTGACATTGAAAAGACAAGCGTTTTCCTTTCTTTCTCAGCATGTGTGAAAATCTTCAGACGCCAAACTTGGAAGGGTTGTTGGTTACTTATGAGCCCGCTGTGAGCTAAAAATCTTACCAAGGATAGTTCACGCACACACACACAAAATTACAAAGGAGGGCAACTTTGGCAAACTACGTTTTTGTTTCAGAGGCTGGTTCTGAGCTATCGAGCATGTTTTGTTCTGACATAAATGCTTTAACTTTCTGAACCAGAATGTACTTAATGGGTCTTTAGTGGGTACGCTTTGTTTGCAGCCTGACTTTGAAAGACATATCCCAGGGAAAGAACCACAGAATTTAATTTAACACCCCATTTGTAGTTTGTATTTAATTGTATATTTTTAGTAGAAATAATGAGTCCATAACAAAATATTTAATCTAGCACCTTCGAATCAGTTAACTAATTTCTCTTTGAAATTCCCTTGATATGTAGCCAAGACTCATTGCCAGCTACTTATTAACCACACATTGTATAGTGAAGGTTCGTAAGGCACTGGATGACAAATGTAACTTTGTGGAGGGAAAAAAACAAAAGGCATTCAAAAGAAAGTCAAATAATGAAACTAGTAATTGACGTGAAGACTGCTCTCTTAATGAATGGGTCCCTCACTGTAACGTAAGTGACAGTGTAGATTTCTTTCATTGCAGTACAAATTGTTACTATGCTAATGTTTTAATAACATGTTGAATTAAAGATTCACTGTAGCTACAGAAGATCGTACAGAGAGCTCACCACCTACAATAATTGTTGGGTCCTCCAGAGGCTGCACGACTGAGTTATGAAAGTTCTTTCTTTGGAATTAGAGGCCTGGGTTCAGATCCTGGCTCCATGGTCTGCTCTCTGAAAGCTACATAGCCTTGGTCATTACTCTGAGGCTCAGGTTTCTCTTCTGTAAAATGAGGGTACTAATCTGTACCTACGTCACAGAGTTGTTGAGAGGATTAAATGAGAAAACGTAAGGTTTCTGGCACATATGTTAACAAGAACTCAACAAATGCTGGCTTTAAATAAATATAATCTATGCCAGTTAACTGCCCTGCTTCCGAGTGGAACTAATTATTCACCTGTCAGTGAAGATGGTTGCAGGGTTTACTTTGAAATACTCAAGGGATATTGTGCAGTTCTTTCCCAATAGTGTATTCAGATTGTTGGAGTCTGGCTTGGGAGTGTGAGCATGATCCCAGGTCTGAATAATCAATAGTGATGTGGTTCCAGGGTGATCCTTCAATGTTGCCTCTTGACTATAAAAGCAGGTTGTGTGCATATGTATCCTGTCTAAATAAATCATGATTTCTGATCATGGTGAGAGTTCAGAGTTCTCCAGCTGTCCAGAGGGCTATGCTTCTGCATCCTATTCCAGGCGTAGAAAATTTCCAGCCAGCACATTCACCTGCCAGTCACTGGCCTTTCTCATAGCATAGGACACAAAGAGAAGGAGGAGGATGAAATAGAGATTGATACCCCTCCAACTTCCAAGGACCAGAAAGCTTGTAGAGGAATATATGGGCCATGCTCTTCAATTTTCATTGATATCGAATGCATCTAATGATAAGTAATATGACAACCAGTGAGAGTTTCAAAATTTTATTAAAAAACTTTTCATTTATTCTTACAGTAAATATCAGCAAATACAAGTTAAATTCCAGTTATCCCAAGTCTGGAAAAAATGGTATCGCATGATTTTTCAGAAATATAAAATGCATCTAGGGAGCTGTGACAACATACATAATTAATTATTACTTGAAGATTAAAAACTCACTACATTTTTTTAGAGTGTTATTTTATCCTGGGTAGTATTTTCATTCTATGTTTAAACTAAATAAGAACCAAAATGTTTGAAACCAATATTCTTTTAACCATAAAATTCTCTTTCCAATAATTAATGCAGTTTTTCTCTCACTCAGTCTTAATTTCTTGTTTTATTTTGAACATTTGTTCTCCAGTTGCATGTGTATGTATGAACACATAAATAATTCTGTGTTAAATAAAATTAAAGTAAAAGAGGAAAAAGAGCAAATGGAGAATTCAAGTAAATATAAATATGTATAATCTGCAGACATCCCCAAACTGTTTTTTTTAAAATGGTAATTTTTTTAATTAAGCGTTCTATTTGTAGCTGTTTGCTGGAGAAAAGTCCCTTCTTGAAGTTCTCTAATAGCGATCTTTGCCAAGGGAAGCTATAGCTTGGCCCCGCTTGTACTAGTTAGCCAGCCCAGGTGAGTGGTAGGAAGAAAGAAACCCGCACCTTTTCTGTGTGTTCCTGAAAGAGAGACTCAAAATGTGGTTCAGTTAGCACACAAGTACTACCAGCAGACCATGAACCAGCCCTGGGAGGAAGTGAGGCAGCCACCATTGTTCTTGTCTTCTAGGACCCTGCAGTCTGGCTGCCTACACAAAACAGCTAGACAATAGTTCAGAACATTTATTTTAAATGTTTGATAGAGTTGTCCTTAAGGGATCCTTAGAGGAGAATTTTAGAGTCAGGAAATATTTTGGGGAACTGGACTTCAACTTTGAAGAATCCAGGAGTTGGACTAACGGAGAGGAGAGACCTCTATAGGTTGAGATGGGAGGTAATAAGATCGATAGAGGAAGTACTGGGGGAGCCTGGTGCATGAGTGGAAAAGGAGCAAATAGCAAACGTAATTTTAAAAGTAATGTGAAAGTCCACATGATGCAATAATCAAGGTGGGCTGCTGAAGATTCTGGGTCAGGAGTGGTACTTTTTAGTCTTTACTGTATTTCTATATTGCAGACATTGTTCTAGGAGATATATATATAATTTAACCCTCACTACAACCCTATGAAGTGGATGTGATTAATCCCCATTTTACCAATGGGGTTGCAAAGCTAACCTGTGATGGAGTTAGGATTTGAACCCGGGCAGTTCGTTCCAGGGACTACTTTCAACCTCCTACCTTATAGGGCTCTTGAAGGAAAGTGCTGGGAGAAACATTATGTGATTTTCTGTCATGGAGCTCAGCTTAGTTTAAGGGAATGAATAGGAAATTGGTCTAGGTGACTTGAGGAGTCTTGATAAAAGTAATTTTGTGCAAGTGAGTTCTGTCTCCTGCCACATAAAATGGTGTAAAATGAAGGTAGAACAGTTTTTAACGTTCTTCAATGCTAGGCACGTGGTAACTATTATTGTTTGGCACAAATAATCAAAATTGATTAAAATAGGGCTAGAGGAGTCACTAGCCTTGTATTTTTTCAGGGTACACTCTTTTCAGCACCCTCCTTCTCGCACACACACATGCTTACATATATAGTACACATTCGGTACGCATTTTCTGTACCCAAATATGTGTTGGGGTGGTGGGAACCCACAAGGAACATTGCTGTCAGGGTTTTGCTTTTATAATTGGCAGGTGATGAGGAGGAAGAGAGGAGACTAGAAAAGAAAAATTGTAACAGTTTTGAATAATCTGAGATGTCTTAAAACAATGGGGAAATTTTGCTTAACTTTTGTATTTCTGTATCTATCTGGAAACCTTGGTTATCTGTAATTCCACTGGTTATGTACCAGGCACCGTGCTGGGTGGGCACTGCCCTCCTGGAATTTACAACCGAGGGGAGGACAGAGATGTTAACCAATAAATATGATAAACATTCTGGGTGTTATATCATAAGCCTGTAAAATGTGCTATGGAGGCCAATGGAAGAGGCAGTCATTTTCGTCCTGGCAAGAGGCATAGAGGGAGGGGAAGGGCTGTCAGGTGGTGGTGTGACTGGGGAAATAACAATTCAAGGGTGAGGAAGAGTCTGCAGACAACGTGGGAAAGGACATCTGTCCAAAGCCACACAGTTACATCACCGGTCATTTGAAGGACCACAGAATGAGTTGGGAGGAAAACAGTATAAAAGAAAGCTGGGAAATAATCATTGGCCAGAAAACCAAATCCTTGATTGCGTGGCAAAGGGTTTTTGGGCTTTCTCCCATGGGCCATGAGGAGTCATTGGGTTTTTAAGCAGCAAAGTATCTTGGTCAGCTGTGTCTTAGGAAGGTCACACTGACCTCTGTTCTCACAAAAGCAGAAAGATTACCAGCTCTATTTAAACCTGTGAAAATGATTTAAGTTTCTTAGAGAAAAGATAGAAGAGAGGAACATAGCATTATTTTTAAGATTTTTTTTTTTTAAAGATTTTATTTTTTCCTTTTTCTCCCCAACGCCCCCCGGTACATAGTTGTGTATTCTTCGTTGTGGGTTCTTCTAGTTGTGGCATGTGGGACGCTGCCTCAGCGTGGTGAGCAGTGCCATGTCCGCGCCCAGGATTCGAACCAACGAAACACTGGGCCGCCTGCAGCGGAGCGCGCGAACTTGACCACTCGGCCACGGGGCCAGCCCCATTTTTAAGATTTTTTTAAACAGTGAGAAATTATTCTACATTTCTCTTTAAAGCTATTTGTATAAGAAGTCATAGTTGTCCTTGATAGCTTTTTTTCAATCACGCGCTTCATAAAAAAGAATGAAATCCCTTCAAAAAATGTTCTTATCTTCCAAACAGTATGAAAGCCTCTCAAAATTTTCCAGAGCTCTCCTACCTCTTTCTCATCAGGTTATATTTAGCTCAGCTGTAGACATTGACCTTTTCAATAGACTGCACAACACGATGCACTAATCGAAACATTTCTTAATAGACTTGAATGAGGTTAGTGGCCCCCACCCCAGCCTCATCCACCTGTGTACACACACACACACACACACATGCACACACACTCATTCATGTTTTGCAGTATTTTGGAAAACGGCTATTCAGTTGGTCCTGGGGAATATAGATGCTTTGTAATTTTGCTAACAATATAGGTTTTTAAATAGGCTTTATTACTTTGAGCTTAGGGAAAGCAGAGATTGCATTTCTTCCTTTCTTAGGAAATTTTTCTTTCTGTTTGAAAAATGTTGGCATGTTTTCAGTTGCTGTAAATCTTACCTTCAATAGCTCTCCCTTGGGTTCTAGTTCTCAGATATGGTTTGGTTCGCAGGCAGGATCTGTGTGCAAAGATTGACCTGCACGGATGTAGTGTTATTCCTAGGAACAGGAACCCTCCCCGCCTGTCTGTACCCACCCACTTTGCTGCCCCTGCTTCTGAGGATTGACTTGCT